AATTATGAAGTTTCTTAGTGTATTTTTATAGATAAAAAATTTTAATTATTATTTATATCATATGTTAAATTATCATTTAAAATTCATATTTAAAACATCAAAAAATCAAAATTAAAAAAATACCATTTTAAGTAAAAATTTAATTTATTTAATTTAACAATTAAAAATAAAATTAATAACTATTCTTTATTTAAAAATATTATACAATCCATTATAATTTATATTATAAAATAATTTTTTTTATATTACCCTATATATGCATTTATAATTAAATTTTTATAATTTAAATAAAGAAAATATATTTTGATGTGACGATAATGATGGCAGTCCAAATCTAAACAGAAGATTAGATTAGTTTTTTTAATGGAAGTGATAGTGAACTTCTTCTGAGTTGTGTGTAGATGGCCCACCCAAAGCTGACTGCTGATGTCATTCTCCACTCCGTATAGTTCGACCTGTCCCCACCACCAACGCTATTTAATTTAACGTTCTAATTGTAATTACTTACTGTTTTTAAAAATAAATTTAATTTCATTCATTATTGTTTTTAATGAAAAATAATATTCCATCTCAAATCTCATAATATATATACATATATATCCCATCTCAGATTTATACAAAATTAGTGCACTTCAGTCAACTCCATTCAAAAATTAATGTTTGAAGTTTAGGAATACAGCATTTTAATAAATATTTTAATAAAAAAATAAAAATTAAAGTATTTTAATATTTTAAATGTCAAAATTTTTATATATTAATTTATTAATAATATATTTGAGTTAAAAAATATAAATAAAAGAAATAAAATAAAAAGATATTGTATCATTTTATTTTTTTTCTCTTTTCTTCATTTATATAAATTAATTAATTAATTAAAATAAAAAACAAAATAAAAAATTTCATTTTTCTCCTTTTCCCTTTAATTCTTTGATAAAAAATTTTCTTCTTTTCTTTTTTTTTTTATTACTTTCAACCCAAATATACTTTATATGTATTAAAATAATTTAATAACATTTTTTAATATTTTAATTGTGCTAAATTTTTAAAATTTCATACTTTTAAAAACTAACTAAAATTAATTTTAGAGTTATATTTATATATTCTTATATTGATTGAATATACCAATAAATTGATTGAATAACCTCTGCCAGATTATATCACGGGGAAATCATTTTTTCTTTCTTTTTATATTTTTTTTCCCGCGCTTTAAACCACAGTACTTTGTTTTTTATTCTTAGTTAATCCAACTCCACCATCCTCGGCTAAAATCCGATAGTCAAAAATAGCTGTGCGCTGCTTTTTCAAGCTCACAGCAGAACTCACTTTCTATTCCTCCAATCACCACCCTTCCATAAAATTTTCCAGGAAAAATTTCCCTTCCATCGTTAATCACCTACGTTTCTTCATGCTCAAACACTTCCTCTGATTAATAATCTCCAAAATGGAATCCAACAGACCTAAATCAGTTCACCGCAGCACCAGCACTGGAAAGAGCAGACTTTCCAGAACTTTCCAGAAAGTTATCAGCTTGCGAACTGCATCCAGGATAGCTTCCAGCAATGGAATGGGAATCTGTGTGCTTAGTTCCCAGCACAAGTCCCAGGAAGAAGATGCGATGCCGGGACACAAACATGGCGATTCGAAGTTGAAGCGGAAGGCGGTAATGGAAGCTCTGGTGGCTAAGCTTTTTGCCGGTGTTACTTCGGTTAAAGCTGCTTATGCCGAGCTGCAAATGGCTCAGCATCCGTACAACAGCGACGCCATTCATGCGGCGGACCACGCGGTGGTCGAAGAACTCAAAACCCTGTCGGAGCTGAAACGGAAATTCCTGAAAAAGGAACTCGATCTTTCGCCTCAAGTCACCCTGATGCTGGCTGAGATTCAGGAGCAGCAGAGCTTGATGCGGACCTTCGAGATTGCAAACAAGAAATTGGAGTCGGAAACAGAGGAGAAAGATTCCGGTATTGATTCGCTGAGGAAGGAGCTTGAAGAACGCAGAGGGGTTAATAAATCCCTGGAAAAGAGATTAAATGCGTCGGGGCCGTTGTCCATGTTCGACAATGTAAAGTTTCCGATGCTGAATCCGACCCATTTCGTTCAATTTTTGCATTTTACTCTGAGATCTGTTCGGAGTTTTGTGAAGATGATGCTCCAGGAAATGGAATTGGCGCAGTGGGATCTCGATGCCGCGGCGAAAATCATCGAACCCGACACGAGATTTCCTAAACTGAGTCACCGGTGTTTCGTATTCGAATCTTTTGTTTGCAAAACCATGCTGGAAGGGTTCAACTCCCCTGACTTTTTCCTTGCCGGAAATTCTCAACCCAACAAGCTCCGTCCGGAGCGTTATTTCGACGAGTTCAGAAATCTGAAAACGGCAAACCCTAAACAGATAGTAGCTCAACACCCACAATCTTCCTTCCCTAAGTTCCTCCGGAGCAAGTACCTTAGCCTTGTTCACGCCAAGATGGAGTGCTCGTTTTTCGGCAACTTGAACCAGAGGAAGCTGCTGACCTCCGGTGGGTTCCCGGAAACAGCTTTCTTCATCGGGTTCGCGGAAATGGCGAAACGGGTATGGCTTTTGCACCGGATGGCGTTCTCGTTGCACGAAGAAGTTTCGATTTTTCAGGTAAAGAAGGGCTGTAGATTCTCCGAGCTCTACATGGAGAACGTCGCCGATGATTCACTATTTTCCGATGAAATCCGTGATGATTCCAACGTCGATATTCGAGTAAGTTTTACAGTGGTACCGGGGTTCAAGATTGGTCGAACTGTTATACAGAGTCAGGTGTATTCATCGCCGGTGATCACTCCTCCGGTGAGTCGTGGTTGATTTTATTTTTACTATTTTCGGGAAGGGTTTTTGATTTTTCGGAGGTAAGAGTATAATTGTAAATTGCATTTAATTAGAATCAAAAGATGTTAGATGAAGTTCACGCGCCGCTTTAGGAGGCGGAGGTGGGGACTGTGGGAGCTAAGCGCCCTTCCCAAGTAAGTCGAGAAAGGCTGGATTGTGCTTGGGAATGCAGTTAGCTCGCCAATCCCCATGCCGGGTTGCCGCTTTAGGCGGCGGAGATGGGGCATCGGGCGGCGCGTGGATTTCTATATGTGGGTCAACTGCACGCGTATTTGGTCCTACAGTCATAGGAGCCACCGGGGTAATGGGTTAGAGAGGCAAAAAGAAATGTTTGAACCTGTAAAGTGCTACCGGTTCTACAATTTCTTTCAAAATGGAATTTGTAACGAAGAGGTGGAAAAATTTATATTTACTTTTGTTTTTTGGAGAACCTTTTTCTATAAGAACCCTAAATGTGAGTAAAAAGATTCAAATTTAAGGATTAATTTTATCTTTTTCAAATTTATGAACATTTTTTCAAATATTTATTAGACGATGATGTTTTTAAATTAAAACTTCAGTCACCCACCTAAGTAAATGAGTGGTCCTTTCCAATAAGAGTGTGGTATGTGGGTTGATAGATAAAAGGACAAGAGAGTATTGTTTTTTTATTATGTAATTTAAGAGTAAAAAGGAAAAAACTAAAACTTCCATAATTGGGGTTGAAATGCATTTTTCTTTGTGCCACCATTATAGCTCAATTGAAAATAAGTTCTGCCTCACTTAAAACAAAAAGTTCCACCAAACAGCTGCTACTTAGTGAGGTGGGCTTGGGCTGAGGAGTCTGGGCAGAGGTTCACGGACCTCCCAGGATTAAACTTGA